AGATAGATAGATAGATAGATAGATAGATAGATAGATAGATAGATAGACAAAGAACCCACAAAAACAGTAGTGATGCAGAAGGAAAAGCCACTTGGGATTTTTCAACTGGGACAGGAACACTGTAAAGGTGGTTCAGTGGATAAGGGGCTTGCTTCATGCACATACTGGATCAAAGTCTGGATCCCCAGAATATACATAAAAATCTGGGCAGATGTGGTAGCCCACTTGCTGTCCCAGTGTTCTGGTGGGATCACTGACTACCTTGACTAGTAAAATCACTGAGTTCCAGATTCAACAAACAAACAAAAAAAAAATAACAGCCTCAGAAAATGAATAGGAGAGCAAGAGGAAGACAGCCAACACCAACCTCTGGTAGCCACACATACACCCTTATACATGTGCACCTAAACATTTATGCACCCAAAGATATGCAAATGTACATGACCACTACACAATACACAGCACACACACCCTGCAGAGTAGTGGTTCTCAATCTCTGGAATGCTGCAATCACTCACTACAGCTCCACATGTTGTGGTGATCGCCAACCATAAAATTATTTTTCTTGCTATTTCATATCTGTAACTTTGCTACTGCTATGAACCATATGCAAATATCTGTGTTTTCCAATGGTCTTAGGTGACCCCTGTGTAGGTGTCATTTGACCCCCAAATGGGTCTCAACACACAGGTTGAATATTGCCCATGTAGATGAATGTACATGGTTAAAATGGAAATGTTGAATAATGGGCTCAAGATTAAAATGTAGATTACTGAATTTAAGTTGGAAGTGTCTAGAGAACTTGTCTCAAGTAGATAGATCAGAACAGCATGAACGTGACTATAATTAGTAAGACAAAAATCTACGAACACTGGCTGTGACAAGGCCTGTTGGAGTCAGTGAATGAATCTATAATCAACCTTATGTGGAGGACAGCAATGGATAAAAGAAAGATAATAGCGTGGGATGTGAAGAAGTGGGATAAGCAAAGAAAGGGAAGGTAGAGAGTGAAGGGGGGAGAAGGGGAAACAGGAACTTCGCTGGGTGGGCAACAGTGCGTATTTTATGCCTGTATAAACAATGATTCTTTTTTAATTTATTTATTACAATTTATTCATTTTGTATCTCTGCTGTAGCCCCCTCTGTCTTCTCCTTCCAGTCCCATCCACCCTCCCTCTTCTCCCCCCATGCCCCTTCCATAGTCCACTGTTAGAGGAAGACCTCCTCCCCTTCTGTCTACTACCAAATGACTTTTGGCCAGTTTTTTCTGTCTGGTAGAGTGGGTTGTATTATGGTGAAAATGGTAAGTTCCAAGGATATTGCTAATTATCTTACTCAGTACAAGACAAAAACAAACAAGTGTAATAAAGACCCAGTCCCTGACATCCTAGTGCCAAACCTGAGAGGCAAGCTGTCTGGCCACTTTGTTTCTAGGGAAATACATTTGTTTAATTTAATATAAACATTATTTTGCCTTGGAAAAATTTGATAGAAAAATTTCAAATTATTTTATAATAGTAGATTAGAGCAATAGGAGCACAGGGTGAGACTGACCTCCAAACTGTTTCTTCCAGTTGCAGGGGATCTTACATCTCTGGGTCTTCATGGTTTGCTTGCACTCAGCGCCAGTGCGAGTGCCCTCCCGGGTACCCAGTCCACAGTCCCCGCTGGTGGGCACACACACACTCCATTGCCATTCTCCACAGTCAGATTTTTTCACCTTTTTCTCTGCAAGGAAGGAAACAAAAGCAATCACCATCCAGAAATGTCCTGGACTCCTGGATATGATGACTAAGTTTGTACCTCAGCACCTCGACTGCGGAGTCTATGACTTCTACCTCTCTCTGCATTGTTCCGAAAGACAGCAGGAACATGACAGATGCTTTCTCAATAATAAAGTCAATGCATGATTAAGAGAGAAACAGAAAACAAGGGGGTTGGGGACAAAACTAATACTGCTAAGTCAAGTGTGGGATAGACAGACTCATTGACATTTTTTCAGAAACAAATATTTTTGAGTGAAGGTATTTCCACTCTGCCTCCTGTCTGCCCACCATGACAGGAGCTGTTCTGCATGCATGTCTGCTGTGATGGGCTAATATCTCTGAAACCCTAAGGGAAATAAAGCCCTCTCTCTCTTAAGTCCACTCCTCAGGTGTTTGACTGCGGTAACAGAGAGCTGAGTATCACCCTTGTATCAGATGCAATGTGAAGGTTTGTGTGTCTCTGATGAAACCTTTGAGAGTGTGAGATACTATTCTAAGAAAATAAAGAAAGATTTCTGTAAAAAATTTAAAACTTCTAAGTAGCTTATGAAAAAGAAAAGAAAATGCCTATCATATGTCATAGTTGTCAGCCTGGCAAGCTCACTGCAAATTGATGGCATGATTTTATCCTGTAGATAAAATGACACAGTAGAAATGTTGTATAGGTCATAAACCTAGACAGACCATTCACGACTATGCCAACAAAACATGAGACAAGCCTCACTCAGCGTTTCCCTAAATAATCAAAGCGAAGGTAAACATGGAGGGTGGAAATAGAAGCATCCCTCATCCGCATGAGGACCATCCGATGAAGCATCTCTCATCGGTGTGGGGAACAACCAATGAAGCATCTCGCCTGCAGGGGAACAGCATCTCTTTATGACCCCACTGCTTACCTGGCTTCTCTTTCTTTCCAGCCTCAGCAGTGTCCACAGCTGCCAAGATGAAAATGAATGCCAAGAAGGCTGCTGCAAATTTCCGACGTTGCTGCTGGTACTGTTGGGATGACATTTCTGGAAGTGAAGAGAAAGAGAGAAAGATGATTCCAAACTAAGACAGGGTGAGGATTCAACTCCCTGATGAAGCACTATAGATGAAACTTCTAGAAGAGTAGATTTTAAGAAATTGTATTGATTATTGAAAGCAGAATTTTATTATTTCTCCCCAATAGCTGCAAATACCAATAAGTCACAGGGTCACTGACAATATCCAACCATTCTTCATATCAGACTCCACAGCCATTTGTTACATATGACTCTGGGGTTGTGAGAGCAGAAGAATTTTAAAGCATGTTCTTGAACAGATCCCTACAGTCTTTCTTGCTGCTTGCATCTCTTGGTAATAACAGCCATCTTCAGGATGTCTGGCAATTCCTAGAAACATTCATGGCATTGCAGTCACGGGGCCCATTGGAATGGTCATGGCAAAGATGGCCTACATTAGCCTGGGCTGACTGGTTTTTATCTTTAGGCATACTTGGCAATGAGTGGTAGCGCTGATTCTTTTCTCTTCATGTTCACTTCTTACATAGTATCATTATCCCACTATGCATTAGAGCGAAATCCAGAAGTAGAGCTGGCATACTATCAATTTATAAACTGACTTTCCTCAAGACCCACTAAATCTTCAGATCTGGGGAACAGTGATCACACTTGCTCAAAATATGAAATACTCCCCATCTTACATAAACCAAAATCCCTAGAGAACACTAGAAAGATCCCTGGTAAACGTAAAGACACTTGTGAGAACCCTCTGACAAGATGACCACTTTGCCTTAACATCCTGGAGGAAGCCGCTGACTATAGAAAGTTACCTCCATCTGCTGTGTTGATGGTGTTGTGTACATCACATGACTATGTAGCAATAATCTTTAGTTATTATTAGTATGCGATATAGTTTTTCAAAACTTGCAATAGATTAGTTTTTACTGATTTTATGATCCCTTTGGTGAACAATAAAACTACTAGTGAGTGTGCATTTGTGTGTGTGTGTGTGTGTTTGTATAGGCATGCACATGTGTGTTTTATAGATCACTATGTTTTTCAGCTTGTCTTTCTTATTCATAAATACCTCAGAAGTGATACCATGAACATCATACACATGGAACATCAATTTCCATGATGTTAGAATTATCACTTATGAGAGTTGTATTTTATTTCGCTATCAATGATTGAATTCGATAGTATGAATATGGATATTTCACCTATAGACTAAAATTAACATTTTTATCACTTAGCGTTTTTAAAGCATGAACCCTGCTTAGCTACTCAGCATCATTTTCATCTCCATCTACATCTTCATCTAAACTCTGGTGCTGGCAACGTTGCTCTTCCTATTGCTGGCTTCCTATGACAGTCTCACTGAGATGTCCCCAGCACATCTGAGGTGAGTTCTCATTTCATGATTGACATACAAAGCCACCCTAGGCTCACTCATTTGACAGCTTGTCAGAATGCTCAGAAATGAGTCTGCTGTGCACCTCTTTGACGCACTTTTTCCTATGACATTTAAAATGATTAGGCAAAACACCAACCAGAAGCCATGGTTTCCCCAAAGGATTCTAAACACCTTTTGTCCTCAAACTTTTGAGAAATCATTAAAGGCAAATTAACTCTTTCATTCATTATTTTTCAATTTTGATTTCAAATTAGATTTTTCTTTCATGTGTAAAAATTTCCTGTGAATTGCCTTAATTATTTATGTTAGACAGATTATTGTGAGAGTCTGAAAAATCCCACTGAGAAAGCACAACTCTGGGGAAAACTTTCTGACCAAGCAATTTTCCCTAGTCTTAATAAATGTAGCCAATGAAGAGGTCAGAAGTCATCCTGATTTAGCCAATATCTTAGTATCTCAGCTTTTATGAGAAGATAAATAGAATAAAGGTTTAAAAGAAGAGAAAAAGAAGTGGAATGATTAAAATTAATCAAGTGTGTCAAACAGTATTTAATACCACTTGAGTACTCCAAACAACGTTCATTTAACTTTTTGCTGCCTCCCAGGTACAATAGATATGTGAGTAGAGAGTGTATGTTCACATAGCGGCTTTCATGAGTATCTGAATAGTCGTCTGTTTATCGTCAGCATCAAATGAAAGCAAAATCTTCCCCTGCATATGTCTTAATTCTGCTTGTTCTCCAACATTCTGGGTACCAGAAGAATGTAGAAGTAGGAACATGTCCCCTTCAGACACACAAAGCAATTAGGGAAGTTGTGAATTATTTTTCACACTGAGAAAAAGAAACAACAGAAGAATCAAAGTTATTAATTGGCCAACTTCTTTTGAGAAATTTCTTTCTTGCCACCTTCTGCCATCTTTATTATATTTGACCTGAGAGACATAATTCACTGTGTTTTAGAAACTGCGGACTACCATAAATGGATGCTGGAATATAATAATATTCTGTTGAGTTATCCCAATGAAGACTGAAACTCAATGACATATAAAGAAACTAACTGGGGGAAAGCATTCACTTTGACACCTCACCCTCTTCTGTTGAGGCAAAGATGATTAGAGTGTGCAGGAAGGAGGGTCTCTTTCCTAAAGCACTGTAGTGGAATCTAGGATCAATACTGGTGTAAATCTAGACCAGGATACTGGAAACAGCCCGTTGGTGACCTGTTTAGAGAAAGTAGTATAGTATCGGGATGCAGAACTATTTTATTCAAACTTTAATTCTACCACTTTTTTTTCAGACTGTTTTTGAACAAATCAAAACATTAAAACCAATTCAACTCATTTTTATACCAAAAGAGTGGATTTTTTATATTAAAAGGTGTAGGGCTGGTAAAAAACAAGTACTAGAGACACTTTCTATAGAAGCTGCAGGATACAGACAAGATAATCAGGAAATTTAGGAACTCCATTGTTGGCATTACCTCTACAACCCTGTGGTGTGTATATCACGTGCACTTCATGAATTAGAGGTTTGGTCCCCACCTCCACCAAGTAGAAGGTGAGCGGACTGTCAGAAAGACTGACTTTATCCGTGACTTAACCCATGAATGAATTAAAATTTTGAAAAGCATATTAAGAGACAGTAGAGCTGTAGAAGGTGGGGCCTTGTTGAGGCAGTGTGTCACTGGGAGCATGTCTTTGAAGAGCATACCTTACTCCACACTCCTTTTGTTACTTCTCTCTGCTTCCCTACCTGCATGACATGAGCAGACATGCTCCCACCATGTTCTGCATCACCTTAGTCCCCAAAACAATGGGGTCAGCCAACGTAGATTAAAACATCTGAAGCTGTGAGCCAATAGAAATGCTTCCTTCTTTAAACTATTTGACTGTTTTTCACAGCCTTGAAAAGTCTAATACAAAATCCTCTTTTCTTTTACTAAAAAATATAATAAGCATCACACTTGGCTTTTTTGCATTATATCAAAACAAAACCAAACAAAATGACACAAAACAGAGACATGATTTAATTAGAATCAGCTAGCAGCTCCTTCAGCCTTCTTAGGACACAAATTCATTCTGCTTCAATTTTTTGGAAACATAACACAAGTTCAGGGAACTTAACTCATGGTGTGTCCTCTGAGTCCAGAGCTCAGTACTGAAAGTTAGCAACTGTGTCAATGCAATTCAGCCTGTGTGAAGTGAGGAAAATCACCTCAGCTTGCAATTCTGTTCTGTGCCTTTTTACATGGAGAATCATCCTTCTCCCATCTTTTTATTTGAAGTAGCTGGACAGAGAAAGCCCCTGTAGTTAGAAGTTGTCCCTAAAACTTTGATCTTGAAAAATGTCAGAGCTTAAAACAGAGGGGTAAATTCTTAAGCTAAAATTATATCTTAGCCCTTTGAACCATGGACTTTAAACAATCATTGTTCTTTCCAAAAGCATATTGCAAATAAAAGTGATCAGCAAATGGTTAAAGATGTCACACCTTATCCATTCACACCATTAGATTATACTAGGTATTTTTTGCTCTACTTGCCTCAACTCTTATGAAGCAGTATTTTTTAACCTTATAAACTGCAAAATAAAACATAAGATATTGAAGATCATACAAATAATATCTGAGTGAAGCTTCATAAAAATAGAGTATTTTTCCAGGCACATCAAGGGACTTTGCACTTTCCTTTTCCCAACTACAGCTCATTCCTCAATAGGAAATCACAGAGAAATTCTTTCCTCATAATGTTTGAGGGCTTTATTTAAATATGTTTTAGACTTACCTAATTTTTAAAAATCTGAATACCTTTTAACTTGTTTTTAACATATATGTTTGCCAGATATTGGCTTATAGTTCTTGTGTTTTACATTCTTACAAAATACAACCCATTTAGTCAATATATCTGACTTTTTGTATTTTGGTATTTATTCATTTGGGTCCAATTCAATATTCCTCCGTTCAGCTTAAAATTAGCAACTGGATATAGAAGCCTTCCCAGAATGATTTCTAGAATTCCTTAATTAGCCATTTATGTCTCCTGTTTGACCTCGTTCTCCTAAGTCTGCTGAAATCTCTAAATCACTCAGTTTACTTAAATTTAACATCAACTTCTTAGTTTGCTAATAGTCAACTAGCCAAACATAAGAGACTCAACAGTTCAAAAATTAAAGCAAAACAAACATATTATAGATTTAATTAATATTTACCTTTCTAAAGAAAAGAAAGAAGACAACCATGTACTTATTTAGACAAAATACCCCCAGAAATTTCTGTCATGTGTTCTGGCTTGGTGATATAATGGGAAATCCACTTTGACTAAAAGCATGTAGCCTTTTAGCTCTGCCCCTATCAATCTTTAAAAAGTGTATAAGTTTCTTGGAAATAGCTCTTTTTGTTTTGGTTTGGTTTTGATTTTGGTTTTTTGAAACAGGGTTTCTTTCTTGGTTATCTTAAAACTAGCTCTGAAGACCAGGCTAGCCTTGAACTCATAGAAATCCGCCTGCCTTTGCCTCCAGAATGCTGGGTTTAGAAGTGTGTGCCACCACTACCCAGCTTAAATGTAGTGCTAAATACACAGAAGTATATAAGAATACAAAAGGAAAATAAGTCAACAACA